GGGTGGGGTGGGTGTGGATGTGGGTTTTCTTTCTTTCTTTTTTTTTTGCACAAATATTTAATCTTTTCCAATCTGCCCTTTTGCGCAGCCAGTCAGCTCCAAACTGCTCTGTTTGCTTTAGCTGGTAACAGGATACGGTTTTGAAAGGCAATGCAGAAGTCGGATCACTTCTGAATCTGGCCTTTATTTTTGCATGAATGCTTTTCAAGGTAACTATAGATTTAGACTTTTTCTTTCTCACCAAGAATTGTGTTGTCAGTGTGGATGTGGTAGGGAGCAGCCAGGAAAATCTAGCCACGGAGTTGGGTGGGTTTGTTTTTTTTTTTAATTTATTTTTTCCCTATAGCTTGGAAATCACAGTTGCAGAGAGGTTTTAAAATAGACCCAACCACAGTTTCATACGGCTCTCTTTTAGTCTGGATCCTTTTTCCTTTGGAGTGAGTCATTCATTATCTCATGCAAAATATAGTCATTCCTGAGAACTGTTTGCAGAGCCTGTGAGAAGTCACCTACTAGAACATACTGGAGAAGGGCAAGCAAATAGGTTAATATCTGCACTATGGCATGTGGTCCACTATTGTGGCAATCCCCTTTTTGGTACTAAGTATGGCATTTATCACTCCCATTGTGCAAGAGAGATGCAGATACATGGTACCTTCTCTGTGTACACAGCTAGTCACAGACCTGGCTCCAATACTTTTTTTCAAGCTCTTGGCTCTGTTTGGTATTGGCTTTGATCTGTGTCCAGGGATGGTGAAACTGGGATTTGCCATTACAGTACCAACCAATGACAGATGACAGACCCTAATTGTTTGAGACTGTGATCAACACTGTGCTTCTAACTGCCTTCAAAGTCACCCCAAGCAGCTCTAGGAGCAGTAAAGCCCTGGGATGACAGAGGCCATAAAAGTTCATTGAGGAGGTTGGATGAAGGTTGGAGCAGAATAAACAGTGAGAGAAGAAAGGGTGTTTGTAGAATTTGGCTTAGAGTCCAAGGTCTGAAAATGCTATTGGTTAACTCAAAGTTACAAATGCAGAGGAAAGAGGAAATGAACTATGGGGAATTGTGAGAACTCTCATGCTCTTCCATGTGACTATTTTGGAAAACATTTCTGTGGCAGTACTCTTGTGGTATGGCGAGCAAAAAAGAGAGAGATACAAAATAAAATATTTTACACTGAATAGATAAAGCAGAAGAAAAAATCAGTTGTAGCTATTAAATGAGATTTCACTTTTGTAGTTTTGGGAAATAGTTTTCTTTGTGCTTCATGATAAATACAGATTTCTATTATAAACAGAGATTAACTAGTAAGGTGAGGAAAAGCAAGGCTGGGACAATGCCACAGCCTGGTATACAGTACATCAGCCGTGAAGAGCCTCAGTGGCCAGAAGGGTCCCCTCGTGTCTGTGTGTGTGCCATCCAATGGAACAGTTAGCCTCTGAGTCAACTAGAATCCAGCCAGTGAGACAAAATACCAGGGACAAAAGAGGATGTCTTTTGGTTTAAGGTTTCAGGGTCATGAGTCATGATCTCTATGGTGAGGCAGAGCCTTTGATGGAGAGATGTCAGCCAGGAAGCAGAAAGAGAGGAAGGGATGAAGGCCTCATGCTTTCTCCATGAAGACTCCACCTTCTAAAATATTTCTTGTTCTTTTTGTGTATGTGTTGCACACCTGGAATGTATGTGCAGGCAGATATTATTATGTACATGTACAGACATCAAGGGAAGACACTAGACGTCTTCTTATTTTCTGCTTTATTCCTTGAGACAGGCTCTCTTGCTGAACCTGGAGCTAAGCTGATGGCCAGCAAGCCTCAGTGATCCTGATGTCTCCTCTCCCATAGTGCTGAGTTAAAAGAACAAGCAACAGCTTCTTGCTTTTTAAAAGACATATGTTCTAGGGATTTGAACTCAGGTCCTTAAACTTACATATGAAATGCCCTTATTTAATGAGCTAGGCCCCAGCTTCTGATGTTTCTAACACTTTCCAATAGTACTATGAGCTGGGGATCAAACTTGCAAGCCATGAACCCTCAAGGAACATTCCAGATCTAGAGTTCACATGATAGCATTTTTTTTCTTTCTCTCCGTTGATCTCATAGAAGGATAAACTGAGATAAATGTGTGTTACACTGTGAGGTTAGAGATCCCCAGTTTGCAGCTGAGTGACCAGCAGAAAACGTAGCATGTTCTACCCAAAGCCAAGATTATTGTGAGCAAGATCTTGAAAATAAAAGTATTATAAATGCAAAATGCCACTTGTACTCCTTCAGTCATTCCAGGCACCCAGCAGAATCAAATAGCATCAGAATTTTGATAATCAACTATTACATGGTCATTGCTGCAAAGGGGATTGTGAGAAACTAAAGAAGTGAAAGAGAAAATCCAGGCATCAAGGAGTTTTAAGACTGGATAGGAATACCAGCCCTGGATGATATGAGCTCAGAGGAAAGACTTCTGAGGGTCAGAGAAGAGGGAAGTGTCATGTGGGTTGGACTGAGCTCTAGCTGCAGCCAAGCAGCCAGGTTTTTCCATCCTAGGCAAGAACCAGTGCCACCCATATCTAGAGGGCGAATGGCATGCTAGATACAGGAAGTGTCAAGGAAGATGGCAGACCAGACCAGAAAGTGTTAACGGGTACCAGAGAGCAAACTGAGATGCAAAGGACAGAGATGCTCTGGGAGCGGTTTCTCAAGAACCAGTCCCCAAAGGAAAAAAAAAAGTGTGCTCATTAACACACTCCTAATACTAACCATCTGCTCAGTGCATCTGGTAGCCCTGCTGATACGGTGGTCGTGGGGAAAATAAAGAAGAAAGTCTGTTTCCGGGTGTCATGGAAACCACAGTGAGGTTGCTGCTTCACTACTCTTTTGTCAAATAAAGATAACCTAAGAATAGAAGTAATCATTTCCTCTTGCATTTCTGAGGCATTAATTATGGAAAATTACATTTTCATCCTAAATTAGTATTTATAGAAATACTGAATAAATAAAACATTTGTGGAAGAAAATATTAAGAGTACATGCTTGGAGATTTTATGAGTTTTATATATAAAAAAGATCAATCTCATAGTGCCAGCAAGTGTCCCATTATCTTGAACTTTGGGGATAATTTTTTCTTCCCCTAGCCATTGAATGGCTGGCGCCAGGTCTATGCCAACCTCACTCATTAACTTGGTGCCACTGGTTTTAATGAAGCAGGAGGCTCTGCTAAGAATGAGGCCTGCAGGACAGATGGATGACTGGGTAATAATAGTGAAAATACATATTTATGGACTTCCATAGGCACAGGTTATTGATTTAGTGGACCTTTATGGTCCTACAATTTTTTTTCTGTTTTTCTCAAGTCATCTTATAGAACTGTTTTTCAATTCTTACATATATTTCAAAGGCTTTTTCTCCCATGGTTTATGATGCTTGTTAAATTGTGACAATACTGATGCATATTTTTTGACAGGCAGCTGTTATGATTTTTCAAAGATGAAAGATGCAAGTTAAGCTAGTGGGCATGAAGTGAGCCGCAGTCAAAGCTGATCAGTGGCAGCAGTCACTGAAGGGTTTTGTAGGTGTTGGGACAATTTCCATCAGTCTGTTAGGACTTTGTTCTAATGGAGGCTTATTATTGCTTTATATCCATTTCTCCAAGAAACCTTAATTTAGAGCAATCTAGATCATATTGCACTCAACAAGAGCCTATTTTCACCTCAATTTTAGAACAAAGCAGGTTGAATCAAAGCTTCAGCCAACTGTGGCCCTGTAAGACAGAAAGATGTGTACAGGAAAATGGACATGAACCCCCGGGGAAGAGCCATCCTACTGTGTACATCAGGAGAGAGAGCCATGCCTGTGTCCAGCATAGCCATCCTAGAAATATATCCCGGGTTAATGTTCTCAGGCCACTGCAGTGTGGTCATGTGGTCATCAGGTTCCCGGCCAAGCTAATCCAATCTGCACGTCGCATGTCTTGAGATGAAAACCATTTTGTCATGTGCACAATGAGAACATGACACAGTTATGTAGGAATGAATGAGAAGCTAGGGGAAGGGAAGCCCATGAGCTAAAGTTTAGGGAGTTCAGGGTGAGAAGAGCTGAGATGAGCCTGAGACTCTGTGACAAGTGAGACACTGAGAGCCTGGAAGCCAGCATGCACTTTGGCATGCTAATAGACACCGCAGACAGCCATTTGCCTGGAGTTTCTTTTGAATCTAACAGTTGTGTGGATAATCTAATGTGGCTTTGGAATTTAGTAGGTTTAATTCAAGTGGATATTGTAGTAACTAGGGGCAGTCTCTGGATCAGTGGTTTTCAACCTTCCTAATGCTTCAGCCCTTTAATACAGTTCCTCAAGTTGTGGTGACCTCGAACCTTAAGATTATTTCGTTGCTACTTCATAAATAATTTTGCTACTGTTTTGAATTGTAATGCAAATATCTGATATGTGACACCCACAAGTTGAGACCCATTGCTCTAGATGCTGGTACTAAGAACTGTGATTTCACCTTTTTATTCCACTAGAGTTGCCACCCAGGATGCAGGAGTATTCCCTCCAGCAGTGTTGATCTGAGAAAACAATGTGTGTCCTCTGACTAGAAAGAATGGACACACACTCTTGGGGATTTAGGGATTGGCAAACTGGCTGCCAACCTTCTTAAGCTTCCTTACCAAGTGCATCTTTTGACCTTGAGAAGCCTCATTTTTAAATGAGCAGACATGTCATGGCTACACACTTAGGAACCTTTACAGCAAGGAAGGAAAGTGTATTCTCTCCAGGTCTTCAACATGCCAGAGACGATTTTCCAAGTCTTAACACCATCAAATTATTATGGCATCATTGAACCCAAGCCAGAGGGAAGTGAAGACATATAAATGGAAATATTTATTTCCTTTAAATACAGCTTGGGATCCCTCTCCAACTTTGAGAAGGGATACTGTGAGGGATACATACTCATTACAAATCTGGGGAGTCACAGCCAAGCATCCTTGCACTTGCTCCATCCAGATCAGGACACCTCGCATCCTCTCTTCCACTCAGACATGTCCTTGCCCTCGCAGTGTTTCTTCCAGCGCTGCCTGAGAAGGAGAGGGAAATGGGAACAGCAGAAGGAAGCATGCCACCCCCAGTGGTCTTAGATACAACCTCTGGAGGAGTACGCAGTGTTTAACTTGCTTCAGACATCTAAAGTTTCCATTCCTCTGTGTCTCTGTCTTATTAAAGCCTTTCTGTGTCCCTCCTCCCTCACCCCATTTCCTCCTAGTCGCTATTTGCCTCCCCAGGAGGAAAACTGCTTTTGTCAGGACGGATCAATGAGAGCCACAGCTCTGAACTAGCAAACGGGTAGCCTGATTAGCAGCATTCATTAGAAACACAGCCACAGAGATGAAAGCAGCTTGCTCAGAAGTGGATCCTGCTAGTTGTCATTTACAGGCTCCAGTTTTCATCCTCACTGCTGTTTATTACCTTTCTTCACCAGATACTGTTGCAGCTTCTAAATCTCGCACAAATTTAGAGCAAGGTCAGGCTCCCTGCCCCCTGGTGTGTTGATAGATGTGATAGATGGACCCCTTTCCTTCCCATGACAGCAAGACTTTTCCCATACCTGTCCCTTGTACCGTGTTGCTCTGGACCCTCACTCTCATGCGGGTGACTGGAAACCAGTCATGGTCCCTCGTTTGGACTACTCTGCAGGCACCAGTTTTCCACGTGACCCTACCCACTACGAAGAGACACACTGTAGGTCCCGCCCAGGTCAGATCCAGTCTCCCAAGGAAACACTCACCAATAGTTCATCCCTTGCGTCTCTTTAACAATTTTCTTGGCACAGAGAATGGCATCTGTGAGGTCATCAGTGACCAAGGCTGCAAAGAAAGATGTGACAGTTAGTTAGCTGGGGCTATTGCTGTCTGAGGGGTCCTTAAACCAGAGCTTCTGTGCTTTCCTGGAAGGGGCTCAGAAGAGTTGTGACTTTCCCTACAGAGAAACATGAATTTCTTTACCAAAAATACAGCTTCGGTTTTCAAGACCATCTTCACCATGGGCTACCTGAGAATAATGCATTAACTGTGTTTAGAGAATAGTGGGAAGCATTAAAAAAAACTTTAAAAAATTATTTATGATGTGTGTGTGTGCAGGGTGGGGGAGAGGGAGAGAGAGAGAGAGAGAGAGAGAGAGAGAGAGAGCATGCAGGGGCCAGATCAGCATGTCAGACCCTCTGGAGCTACAGGCAGTTGTGAGCTGTGGATTTGGAAGCTGGGAACCTAGCTCCAGGTCCTCTGGAAGAGCTCTTAACTATGTAGCCATTTTTACTGTCCTGTAGAAACACACATGTCAGACAGGGTAGCACCATGTTTTCTGTACTCAGATTACTTTGACTTTTATGCCATCTCTACCTGGTAAAGGCTAAACCTTCATCTGTTGTAATTTTCTAGTTTGTACATTAAAAGAATTAGCAAAGGTTGTTTTTCATATAAAAAAAGGTAATGTTTTAAGGCAACTGCCCCATTCTTTATTACTTTGTCAGTCAAAATCTTTTCATTGAAGTATAATCCTTGTTTGTTAGTAATTTTTCCCCCTGCTTGCCTGGAAGGATCCCCAAACATCCCTGACATCAACATTACAGGAAATGTCAAACAAATATGAAAAGTCTAGCATCATTCCTACAGTAAGGCTAGGTGCAGACCTGAGGACAGAGATGGTTCCTAGGTCTGGGAGTTGGGGTGGGAAGAAAGGAGATATTGGTCACAGTACAAACTTGCAGAAATAAGACAAAGGGGTTCTGGAGATCCAGGGTACAGCATAATGATTATATAGTCAATAGTGTATCATATACACCACACACCACACATCACACACACACACACACACACACACACACACACACCACCTCCACCTACCCACACCACCCACACAAAAATCCACCACATACATCACATACACACAATACCATAGACACACACCATATGCACACTCATATAACACACAGATGCCATACAAATACATCACATATATAACACACAACTCATACACATACCACACACACAATACACACTTTTACACACACTCTACACACCATATACCACCTCATACCACACTCCTACCACACTGTATACACAATACCACGCCCCCACACATATACACAGCACACACAAATACCATACACTCACCACTCCCCCACTAGCTGAGTGTAGAAATCACTTCATAATATATGGATTAGAAACCATCACATTGTATACATACTTTACACAGGGTTTTTGTGAATCATACTAAAATAAAGCTGGGAATGATAATAATTCACAGTAAATTTAATTAACATTAAATGCATCTAAAGCCTTACTCTCGCTGTTGTTTAGCTAGATTTCAGATGTGTGCCTCCCTACTCCGGTAAATCTCCCATGATTTGGTACAGAAGGTCCCACCTTTACACAGTCAATTGAGCAGCCTTTAGAAAAGAGACAACTGTGAGCTTGTTGGTGTCTTAATGAGAATTAGCTCTAAGATGTGATTGTCAACATTTTGAAATTGAGATGTTTATCCTCTAATGTTTTTACAACAGAAATGCATTTATTCTGTCAGAAAAAAAAATAACCAGAAAGAAGAAGCATTGGCTTGAAATATCATGTTTCAATAAAACATCACAATTGGGAATTGTTTGTAAATTTGCTAGAAGTGAAGTTTTTCCTTCAGTCTGCTGGTTTACTTTTAATTATATCACTTTTCTTAGAAGACTAAGGTAGTGACATTTCCTTTAGGCACATTTATTCAAAATGTGGTTTGTTTTGATTTTGATTTAAATCAAACCACCATTTAACAAGAAAAAACAGGAACCACAACAAAAAGAAAACCCTAGACAGGATTGATCTGGAGGCCGGAGCAGCTAAAGCAGTGCACACAAACCCTTATGTTTAGTTTACTGTCACCAGGAACAGCAAAACTACAGCCGCTTGTAAGTCTTGTTTCTCGAGATACACATATCTACAACAACAGCCATTCGTTACCATCAGATAAGGCAACTTTTACTGTCAGGCATACAGTAAGTACCTTCATGAACATCCCCATTCATCCTCAGAATAGTCATTTTAGTGGATCCCATCGTTGTCCCTATAAACTCAAGCCCCAAGCTCAGTAAATCAGTCTGGGTTTGGAAGTAGATGGATCCTAGAACAAGTGGCATTGGTGTTGTCTCAAGGCGTGAGAAGGGCACATTACACATTGTGAGGAGGAACTTGCTGTGTTCCATTATTCTGTGACAGGAGTATATTCCATGCTTATGTACCTTCGGAAAACAGTTTGAACCCTGAATAAGACTCACTCTCTCATAGCAGGATCAGGTGGTATGGGTTAGGGAAGAGAGCACCATGGAGAAGCTGTTTATCAGCCTGGTTAGGGTGTTTCAAAAGTGCCACTTAGAGCTGAGTGGTGGCAATGCATGACTGTAACTCTAGTTCTTGGAAGGTAGAGGCAAGAAGGTTATGAGTTCAAGACCAGCCTTAGTTATTCAGTAAGTTGGAGCCCAGCCTGAATTATAGGAAACCGATACAATAATAATAATAATAATAATAATAATAATAATAATAATAATAATAATAAAGAAAATTATATCTTGAAAATGACTGGATTAGCTTGGTGTTGAGGAAGCCTGGGGTTGAGACATAAGGAACCAGATGTAGAGTTGAGACATTGGAACAGTGAAATCACCACACAGGGGCAGCAGAGTGGCAGAAATCGGGAAGGCAGCAGGCTTTTTAGAAGGATTCATGCCAATAATTGTTTCTGCCCAATTTACCTTAAATAGACAATTCTGTCTAGTCAAACAAGAATAGGAACAGTTCCTCGGTAACAGTAGTTTACTCTACATTCAACAACAGAAAACAGCAGCAATTGGTACCCAAAGCAGTTCTGGTTTCCAGTTAGCACATGGCAAAGTCCCCATGCCTCCTGGTGCCTCCCTGTGCCTCCCCCGGAATAATTACAACCTCCATGGTGCTGGTTTACATATCTTTTTCTTCTCTGAAGTAACAAAGGCCAACTCAGATGCCTGACTGATGAGGAATAAGATTAACATACATGGACTACACTATATGGAGATACCAGCAATCATCTTTCCTGTAAGCGTCTCTCATTAGCAAAGCTTGTGTTTTGGAAGAAAATAAAGATTGCAGTTAAATCAGGAATGTCATAAATGATGTGTATGTTTATGTATGCGTGTGTGTGTGTGTGTGTGTGTGTGTGTGTGTGTGTGTGTGTGTTTATATATGTGAATATTTACTTAGTCCATCTTCTGGTGCCTTAGCAAAATACCCAGGACTAAATAATTTATAAATAAGAGAATTTTGTTTAGTGCATGTTGCTGGGATCTGCTGGGGAAGGCACATGGCAGAGGACATTATTGAAAGACAGTATCCATGCTTACTCAGCCTCCCTCCCCATCCTATAAAGTCACTATTTCAAGATAGGGTCCCATCCTTCCACCCTCATCCAACCTCAACTGCTTTTCCAACACACCATTTCAGAATACCAGTCACATGAATTTGGTATTGTTTCTAACACATAAACTTTGGGGGAATAAATTTACAACATAGCGCATATGTAAAAATAAACTGAGAAGTTTGAAGAAGGGAAGAAAGGATTTTAAAAATACAGTTTTGAAATGAAAGAGATTGTATAATTTCTGAAGTGGCATGAAGACATAGATGTAAGGTCATGTACCTTGTACTAACTCATTTCTAGGGTTTCATAACAAATGTTCCTACTTCTATACAGCATGGGACAGAAGGACATTGTTCCCAATTACAACCTTTCTGTCTGAAGGCTGATTAGGGCGTAAAGACAACATCCTGTTTTCTATTTTAAAGCTGTGTCTAAAAATCCCTTCCTAAGGATGGAGCCCAGGGTCATGTGTATGCCAAGCAAGCACTCTGTCACGGGGCCACAACCCCAGCCCTCCATCTCTAGGTGATGTGGAAACAGATGTAGATGCTGTTTAGTACTAACCATCAACCACCAACACTTTAGCTCCCTACATGAGAATTGTCCTGCATTTCCCACTCCTTAACTGGAATCAAATTGGGACAGTATTAATTGAATAGATAAGGTTCATAACAAGTCAAGCATATCTGTGAGAGTGAGAAGAAGTTTTCTTCCCACTGTCATTGGCCGGAAAAAATAGGACAAATATGCGAAAAGCTTATTTTCAGACACTGGACACCGGATGGTACTGTGTTGACCTTTAAGAGAGAAAACAGAGGCGCAGAGCCCTGTGGTTGCCATGACTTTTTGCTCAGAGAAGAATAGGTAGGTGAAAGCTGAGACAGATCAGAAGCCCTGGAGCAGGGATTTATGGAGAATCTGAAACAATCCAGATGAGATGAGGGTCTGACTCCCTGGGCCACACAGGAACAAATGCTCTGGAACTGGACAACAACAGGGCTCTTCAGGTTGGGAGACTTACCCTATTTCTGGCTACTCAGGAGGAAGAGAACTCACTGAACATCTAGAGCAGTGCTTCTCAACCTGTTGGCTGCAAGCCCTGGGTGGGGGGTATGTCAAAACAAACTGTTCATAGTGGTTGCATATCAGATATCCTGCCTGCCAGATATTTGCATTAAAATTCATATCAGTTGCAAAATTATAGTTATGAAGTAGCAACGGTAATAATTTTATGATTAGGGTCACTACAACATGAGGAACCATAAAATTCTGCTCTAGGGCATTCCAAATAGATGCTGAGAGAGCCACGCTTTGATAAAGGATGAACCAGCGGCATCATAAACTAGTCTAGAACTCTGTCATGCTATTTAAAGATGAATTCAGCTGCTTGTTGAAACCCAACACTTTTTCCTTATGGGAACAAGCCAGACAC